TCTTTGTAAAAGATTTAGAGTGTAGTTTTCTGTACCTTGCTGCACTCACTGATAAACTAAGTGTTCAACTGCTCAACACTTCTAAGTGTGCAACAATAAGTGAAATACCTGCAAGTGTGCAACTGCATGTTTAATACTTGCAAGTGTTAAAATCGGTAGGTGTGCACCAGGGGGTAGAAACGAGGCGCTCCGGCCGTCCACCATGCGCGCCCCCGGCCGCGCGTGAGCCGATCCGTGCACTCCCTGTTTCTTCTCACTTTTCAACATGGTTTGATACTTGGTCCAACCGCAACAGTAGTATCGGTCGAAAGGGGAAAGTTCAAACTTTACAAAGGTACCACTAAAATCCACCTCCAGCCTCATTTCATCGAGAAAATTTGATTTTAGTGAACTTGCAGGCCGCCCGAGGACGCCACCTGCGCGCAAACGAAACAAATTTCCACGAAATAGGCGCAACTGCATTTTAAAGCAAGTGTAGCCCTAAAAAGATTAATAAACGAGCTTTTGGCTGGGATAGGTGTCCTTCCCGTCAGATCGAAGTATAGCCTAGATTTTATAAATATACGGAGATGTGAAACCGGCAGCCATTTTGGTTTCGAAACTTTGATATACATTTTAAAAATACCCAAGTGTTTACAGCGAAGCAGGAGGTAGCCTATGCTGAGCAACGTTTTATGAGATTTCGAATGCCGTTCGAGGTTGTATTCAAAACTAATGCCGATTAAGTTAAAATTTGAGATTTACTCAGGAGTGCGTGATAACCTCCGGAGGTGCCTCCGACATTGAGATCGTTCAAACATGAAAACAACTTACCTCTGGTATAACATATCAAGAGTCCTTGTTGGCAGAGGTTATGGTCCACCGCAATATGCAATAATATGTGCACGAACTGACAACCAGCAACGATAAATAACTAAAAATTACCTTCTGTCACTGACGCTGTTGTTGTAATCCAGCAGAAGCGCACCGACGGTATGAGAAATCAAGCGGTCGACGGAGTCTACAGCTCGTCAACTATTATAGCAGTGAGGCGACTGGAAATCGCATGCAAACACACCAGACCTATTCTTATATTTTTATTTGTATTTAGAAGCTAGTAGAAGGTGTCAGGGCTGATCTGCGACTTTCCACAATCAATGCGTGTTGTTGTCAGCGTTGACCGCTTGATTTCTCATACCGCCGGTGCGCTTCTGCTGGATTACAACAACAGCGTCAGTGACAGAAGGTAATTTTTAGTTATTTATCGTTGCTGGTTGTCAGTTTGTGCACATATTATTGCATATTGCGGTGGACCATAACCTCTGCCAACACGTACTCTTGATATTTTATACCAGAGGTAAGTTGTTTTCATGTTTGAACGATCTCAATGTCGGAGGCACCTCCGGAGGTTATCGCGCACTCCTGAGTAAATCTCAAATTTTAACTTAATCGGCATTAGTTTTGAATACAACCTCGAACGGCATTCGAAATCTCATAAAACGTTGCTCAGCATAGGCTACCTCCTGCTTCGCTGTAAACACTTGGGTATTTTTAAAATGTATATCAAAGTTTCGAAACCAAAATGGCTGCCGGTTTCACATCTCCGTATATTTATAAAATCTAGGCTATACTTCGATCTGACGGGAAGGACACCTATCCCAGCCAAAAGCTCGTTTATTAATCTTTTTAGGGCTACACTTGCTTTAAAATGCAGTTGCGCCTATTTCGTGGAAATTTGTTTCGTTTGCGCGCAGGTGGCGTCCTCGGGCGGCCTGCAAGTTCACTAAAATCAAATTTTCTCGATGGAATGAGGTCGGAGGTGGATTTTAGTGGTACCTTTGTAAAGTTTGAACTTTCCCCTTTCGACCGATACTACTGTCGCGGTTGGCCCAAGTATCAAACCATGTTAAAAAGTGAGAAGAAACAGGGAGTGCACGGATCGGCTCACGCGCGGCCGGGGGCGCGCGGACGGCCGGAGCGCCTTGTTTCTACCCCCTGGTGTGCACTAACAAGTGTGCAACTCCTCGGTTGAGCACTTAATTCCTACACAGAAAGCGTCCAATCTAAGGAAGAGTTCAACCGAGTGGTTGCACACTTGCTAGTGCACACCTACCGAATTTAACTCTTGCAAGTGTACGACTACGGAGTTGCACACTTGCAAGTATTCAACTTGCAGTTTTACACTTACAAGTGTTGAGCAGTTGAACACTTAGTTTATCAGTGCTGATAAACCAAGTCCGTAGTTGTACACTTGCAAGTTCAACTCGTTAGGTGTGCTGGTGTGCACTTGCAAGTGT